GCACAGACATGCAGAAGCAGCAGAAGGAGATAAAGAACCAGAAAAGGGGTCGAAAGAACTTACCTTTTCTGCTAACTTGGGATCCAAGGCCTTGCTGGAGAGCAGGGAATCAAGCTGGGAGCGGAGGCATCGGATGGAGGAATCGAGAGATTGGGCGCGCTGGCGTAGGGATTGCTCGTCGGCTGAGGCTCTGGAGACGAAGGAGGCAGCTGAGTCCTGCAGCTCCTTCACCCCCTCCACCGCCTTGGCCACTTGTGCTCGTATCTCCTCGTCACTGCCGGAAGAAGAAGAAGTGTTCCTCTTCGCATCCCCCATCGCCGAAATCTTCCTTCCTTTTCTGCTTCAATCGATTGCGTTCGATACGATTTGATCGAATCAATCCCCTCTCCAGCTTCCGGGGCCTACCCAAAATGTTTAAATATAATTTTAATGGTTTGAGGAACATAACCCTCACAAGTCACAAATACACACGCGCGCACACTGGTGGTAGCCAACAATTGGTAGAGCCCAGGAGAGAATCGAGATTGAAAATTCAAAGCCTATTTTCCTTTTTTTTTTCTTCTTTTGGTTCTTTATTTTAAGGAAAACTAATGAAAATACTTTGAAAATTTGAGTTTTAATGATAAGAACAAAATAAAAGATAAAGTGAATAATATCAAGATTGACTTTTTAGTGTCGTTAAAATGAATAGTATCGAGAACTTTTCGTTAAAGTTACTTCCCTTTTAAGGAAAACTAATGAAAATGGCTTCAAATCTTTACATTTTAATCATAAATCATCCATTAACTTTATTTAATGACAAGGACAAAAGAATAAAAATAAAAATAAACATAAAGAACCCAACTTGCGCTGGGTGCATCCCTCATATAAACAGATACAAGAAATATAAGATCTCACATCGTCCAGGAGAGTGATCCTTTTATGTATATTCTCATCCCTACCTAGCACGAGGCCTTTTAGGAGCTCACTGACTTCAGGTTTCATGGGAACTCCGAAGTTAAGCAAGTAGCGCGAAAGAGCACTCCCATGATAGGTGACCCATTGGGAAATTCTCGTGTGAGTTCCCAAAAACAAAATCGTGAGGGCGTGGTCGGGGCCCAAAGTGGACAATATCGTGCTACGGTGGTGGAGCGGGCCTGGGATGTGGTAGACCTCGGGTCAGGATGTGACAATTTGATATTAGAGCCTAACCCTGGCCGTGGTGTGCCGACTGAGGACGTCGGGCCCCTAAGGGGGGTGGACTGTAAGATCCCACATCGCCCAGGGGAGTGATCTTTATATGTATATTCCCATCCCTACCTAGCACGAGGCCTTTTGGGAGCATACTGGCTTCGGGTTCCATGGGAACTCCGAAGTTAAGCGAGTAGCGCGCGAGAGCACTCCCATGATGGGTAACCCACTGGGAAGTTCTCGTGCGAGTTCCTAGAAACAAAACCGTGAGGGCGTGATCGGGGCTCAAAGCGAACAATATCGTGTTACGATGGTGGAGCGGGCCTGGGATGTGACAAGAAATCCTTCATCCAAATATCCCAAAAACAAGAGAGAGAGAATGGATGCATTACCAACACTAGCCAACTTCAAACTCGACGGTATTTCCTAGAATTTGTCGTCAGGGCTGGGTTTGTATGCGCAGAAGTTGCAAAGGTTGAAACCCTCGAGTTTCACAGAGTGCAACATAGTGAGATTAAAACTCAGAAATTCAAAAGTAAGTAAAGACCTCACCTAAGTTTGAGTTTAAGAGCTTCAAGCTCTCAGGCATTAATGGTGCCGAGGTCCACACTGCACCGATCCCACATGTAAGACCACCATTGTGATCTTTGCATCCCACAGACTTCAAATATGCTAAGTTTGGGGTTGATTTGTGAAGGTAAGTGGGAAAGTGAGAGCTTTCTTTTCTCGGTGCTAGAAAGATTGAGTTCGAGAGAGAAAGAGAGTTTTAGAGAAAGTTCAGAAAATAATGTGGGCGCATCCCCCATATAAATTGATAAAAAAAAAAAACATACAAAGAAAATTTGATGAGTATTGAAGAAAATTAGAAGAAGAAAATGTGTTTGGAAGGTGAGAATGTGCTAAGAAAATTCAAGAGGAGGAGAGAATAACGTAGTACCATTAAATTTCATAAATAGTGTAGTAAGTTTCATAAACAGTGTCGTAAGTTTTCATAAACATTGCAATAAGTTTCATAAATAATGTTGTAAGTTTCATAAACAGTGTAGAAGTTTCATAAACAGTGTGAGAACACGTGGGTTAGCGCGCCAGATTTTTTTTAATATTAAAATTATGTCTTTTTCATTAAAATTTAAGGTTTTTTTTGTCATTTTTATTAAATTTTAAGGATTTTTTCATTAAAATTTAAGTCTTTTTAATTAAATAAAGTTATAGCATGATTTTTTTATTAAAATAAATTTAGTCCAACCCATTTTCATGAAAGTTCCCTTTATTTTAGAGAAGTATTATTAGCATTCCAAAAATCTCATTTTACACTCCTCACAAGTGTATTTTTCATTCCTAATATAGAAAGTTTGAAGTGTAGAATGAGATTTTTAGAGTACTAATAACAATTTCCTTATTTTAACCATATTACTTTTTATTTTTCAATCTCTTTCCCTCTTGTTAAACCAACTAAGGCAAACCTACTCCTTTCTCGATTCTCCAAACCTCATCAATCGATGATGCATGACCATCTGGTTGATCAACTAGTCATATCTTACAAACCAATCCGTATGTGTTTTTTGATATAATTTATGAGATGAAACATGCTGGACTGCACTTATTTTAAACGCACAATTGGTCATAATTCATAAGCCATACGTATTAGATAAGTCGTGTGTTTTGAGCCCTTTTATTATACAACAATCTATGATATACTAATATAGTGTCATTCTATACTCTAAAAGGAGATTTTTTAAAGGCTTTTTTTTGTCAATAAAAATTTTTAAAGGCTTTTTACCAATAACGGTCTCTGAGATTAGCATAATTCCTTATTTTGGTCCATGAGATTTAAAATTGATAGAAGTGGTCCCTGAGTTTATCCACCGTCAATATAAGTGGTCCCTAAGTATGACAAATCGATAGAAATAGTTCCAAAGTAAGGAGTTATGTCAATCTCAAAGACTATTTTGACTAAAAAGCCTTTTTTAAAATTATCATATGAACTCACACACATTTTTCAATGTGTCATACGAACTGAATTTTTTTAAGGGATTTGTCATACTAATTTTTCAAAATTATTAATTTGTCATCTCACCCTAACTCCGTTAAGTTTTCCATCCAAAATACGTCATGTGTTACATTTCAGCATAAAGAATATCATGCAACTTTACCATATATTGGAGGGTCCCCAATGACTATAATTTTTAGTCATCTTCACTTCGGAACACAGAGAAATGAGTGCAGATCGGTCCTTTTTTCCAAACAGCAAACCCTCAGATCATCGTGTAACAAATGAGCCCCATTTATATATATATATATATATATTTTTTTTTATTTTAGAAACCCTAAATTATTTTTGTTGAAGGCAACTTATTAGAAGGAGAGTGAGGTGTTGAAATATCTGAAATAACCCTGAACTCAAATCATGTGCTATTTAATGAAAAACTTAATAGAATTAGAGTGAGATGACAAATTAATGATTTCAGAAAGTTGGTTTGATAGGTCATTTCAAAATTTTAATTCATATACAAATTAAAAAAAGATTTTAGTTCATATAATATTTAAACTCTAAAGAGATCAAATAAGCTCGTCACATCAAATGATTAAGCCGTTGCATAACGTACATTGTTTGGTGCTGAAATTTCTAATTTCAATGTGTTTTCATTTAATAAGTTGGGAGATCCACACCTATTTTTACTTCTAACACAATCCTTTCAATTTTCGAGCATCTAATAGAATCAATCGAATAAAATCAATGAACAAAAATTAACAAAAGTGTGAAAGATAACAAAAAAAAAAAAAAAAACAAAGTGTAAAAAGCACTATGTTTGCTTGAATTTTGATCCCAGCGACATCAAGTGAAGCGTCACTTTCACGCCCAAGTGGGGTGATCAGGTCCATACCAACCAAAGCCATTTCACAGTGTCGACCTCCCACCACCCAACATTTTCTCTTCAATTTGACTATTTGTCCTTGTTTGGGTCCTTAGGGGCCTAGAGTCTCTTCTACCTTTCAAGTCCTGCACAACGAGGACTTATATTGAACAAGTTTACAGTCACTTGTCTCTTTGATCTAATGATGCATTGTCTTTTCTTTTCTTTTTTTGGTGAATTTTTCTCTACATGACAAATACATTATTAATTTGAGGCGTCATACTAACAGTGAACATATTTCATGTAAGTTAATCCTAAACAACACCTTTGCAATAAATCATAAAAACCAAACATAAAATCTTAAATAAATAATTCAATATTCTTAATTACTCGAGCTATAACTTGTTTCTAAATAGCCTATTACTAGGCTGATGGCTCCTATAGTGTCAGAACAAGTCCAAGACCGTAATCCACTTATCAATAATCTTGGATAGGGAAAGATTGAAAATCATATCTCATATAGATGAGTCAATATTATCGACCACTTAAACTACAAGTCGCTTGTCAAGAGTCTCCGTACCACTATTTGTTACTACTTTCTTGGAGACTTTTTTGTTCCTAACACTCTAGCTTTAGCAGCTACTCAGGGTTCAGTATGCCTAACTGCCCTGCCCAATAGATTGATTTCTACCTACCTACTGTCAATCTGCACGAATACTAGCAGTTATGAACTTAGGACTCCCTACCAAATAATGAAGCTTCAAGAGGATGGATCACCTAACTCTTTGGCCAATAAGGCTTAATCACTGACCATAACACTTGTTGCTCAATATTTTCACAACCGAAAGCTCGCTAACTCTTGATTTAATGATACTTCTCTTCCGAATATTGGAAGATATCCAAGTTTGAATTCTATGTTCGACTAATTCAGATTGAACCAAGAAACACACAAAATAAGCTATAAGGCGACGATCGTTAAAAAACTATCCAATTTCCCACCTAGAAGCAGATTATATTCTCTTACACAATCCCAGAGCACAACATTGGTGATGCACGAAGAGAGTTAAAATAAAAGTTACAAATAAAAAAAATAAAAAAAGAAGCAAAAGTAGAATTGCAAGCAAAAGCAAAAAGTAAAAAAAAAAAGGATACACTACTACATCTTTACTAGCTTCCTTTTTTTTCTTCACCAGTCCAGTAAGTTTTCACTGCAAGAAGAATTTTCTCTGGATTAAAAGGTCCACTTTCATGATCCAGAATCTGGCTCTTCCATCTCATCCCGTCGGTAATCGCCTTTATTTTCACCAAGATCTCTACAGTATCCCTAAACACAACCGTTCCTTCCGGCCTCAGAATCCTATCCATCTCCAGTAAAATGAGTGTTATGTCACACCTGCAGTGTACAAACCACATTAGGCCTCAAAGTAACAAAACTCGATGACCAAATGCAAACTATCGTGGAATGGAGCTTTACCTGTCCTGGTATATGCTGAAGACTCCCCCAGCATGGATGAAATCGTATGTTCTGGGATATGTGGACAATGCCTCGCACCAATCCTGGTAATGTCCAATGAAACCCCGTTCATAAATCACTCCAAGAGTGTCCTGGTTTGAGTTGGCTGGGACTGTGTTCATAACCCACACCGGATATTTTGACAATGCTGCAGCAAATCCACCGAGGTAAGCATTCATGTCCATCACATTCCTATACCTTCCTTTGGAAATTGGTACGATCCGCTTGTAATGGTCCACCCTTTCCTTCCACAGTTGATTATCCTCGCGGAGTTTATCAGCAGTGATTCCTGGTATTGAACCACTGCTGATTCTAGGCGGGATAGCTAATGCACGCTGAGGCCACTTCTCCAACGCCCCACCAGCAACATCATTGGGATTGCTTGTCTCCGGTAGAGGAGTAATGCAACTCTCCATTTCTCTTTCCCTTTTAAGCACAAAACATGCCACATTAAGCAGAGTTAGTACAGGAGAATTCGCATTCCAAATCAAATAAACAAAATCACGAATGAAGCTCAGGGAGTAGTACCAAGCCATATCTGGATTGTCTGATTTGCATATATGTGGTGTTTTATACACCTTCCTGCTCTTAATGCATTCGACATGATTGATAGGTTTTTGCCAGATTGCAAGATCGTTCTTCTCGATCACCTTCTTCCAGCACAGGCTCTTTGCAAGAGACTCAATAGAATCTTGCTCTTGTTTCAAATCCTGTTGAGTTCTCTCCCATCCTCTCCAGTGTTTTTTCCAGTGAATAGGCGGCCCGGAAAGAATCCAATAACCACCAGGCCTTAGAACTCTGTCCACTTCAATTAGATACATACCATCTGCAAAAATAGTTCAAAAGAAAATCCACACGCTTTCAAAACCACATCATATGAAATTAGTGGTGAATTTTACTTCAACATCTTAAGTCTAAGCATAGTGGTGAATAGATATATAGATAAATACACATATACATACATATATATATATATATACACACACATACAGATGTCTATTTGAAGTATGCAGCTCCAAAAACTTCAACTCAAGTAATGTCAGATAGTGTAATATGTTGAAGCAAACATGAAAGAGAGACATAGACACTATACCATAGTTCGTCCAAGGGATCAAGCAGCGGGAACAGTGAGCCATATCGAAAGCCCTTGCAGGGTAGGGAAGCCTCTTCGAAGCCATGACACCAATCATAGCAGGAACTCCACGCTCCAATGCAAACTGGACCTGCGCTGCATGCGTATCTCTCGGCGCAAAAGACATTGTCAAGATGTCCCTCTTCAACAGGTAAGCACCCCAACTGGCTACCTAAATACCCAAACAGGAGAGTGCATCAGCATTTGCTACCTAATTACACATCTATACACATATATGTGCTACTTACACCACAGCCGGTATCAATTGCAGTTCTGATGTTGCCCTTAGTGAGAGGAATGAGCGCGTTCATTTCATCTATGTATGCATCAGCTCCCCTTGGAAACCCGGTACCTCCCCCAGGGAATCTAAACCTTTCACCCTCGACTTGAATCCAATTTTGGACAGCTTTCTCAATGCTGAGTTCTCTATGCGGAATGTTGTCATACCAAGCAAAATCACGACTCTGAGGCCACTTGAAAGGGGTCTTGTACTTTGGTGGAGCAGGAATAAGGCAAAGAAGTTGTTCTTCTTTGGTAGGGCAATGCCTCTCTCTGTATTTCAACATGCTCCTGTCGAATTTCTCCCCCTTGTTGCATCCTGGCATGGAGTGTACTCGCTGTAGGACATGTCACACGGTGGGAACTTCTGGACAGCCTCGGTTTTGTTGATGTCCACTTGATGATGGCTTTCGAAGTCCAAGTGAAGCGATGATGATGATGATGACACGGATGAGGAAGTTTTGTTCCCGGACTGAGATGGCGTTTCATCACAACCAACCCTTTGGTAGAGCTCAGATTGATTGACAGGGGCAGAAGTGGTTTGCCAAGCTCCTAACATGTAACATACTATGCAGAGCGCACTAACCCCGAAGATCCAAGTGAGCCTCTTCTTCTTGGATTCTATGTGGTGATGCTTTGGCGATCCACCACTATAATCCCTGGCCATTTTGTTCTTTCTGCAAAAAGTTCCAATTCGAACGAAAACATCAAGAAATCACACTCTACCCATCAATCAATACCTCAAGAATTTCAAGCCTTTTCACAAATCCTAAGATCCCATTTAATAACCATTCATAATTCATTAAGATCACACTGTAACTGTAACAATCAATCGAAAACATAAAGATTCAATCTTTATTCATAAATCATGAACCCCACATAAAAAAATAAAAAAATAAAAACATACATCTCTATACAGGAATAAGCAGAAAAAACAAAATCACACGCTACTCTAACTATCATCCAAATATGGAAAGATTCAATCTTTTCTCACAAATAATAAACCCAATATCAATAAAACTTGCATATTTAACTTGGAAACACAAATAAAGCAAAAAATGCAAATTTCACAAAGCAAGAACAAGATCCAGACACTTGGAAGGCAAAGCTAAGAGATCCCATTAAACAAAAAGATATACATAAAAATTAAGGAAATGGAAGGAAAAAGAAACGAAATGCAATCAGAAATGTACCTATTTCCAGCAACAGAAGTTTGAAGCTAGAAACAAAACAAGTACTCAGTACCCTAAAGTTCTCTCAAAATCTTAAAGAAACTACACTGAGGTCTGCACCTTTCCTCTTTCCCTTTTTTTTTTTATTCTTTGCTTGTTTCTGCACCCCAAGTTTTATGGCAAAAAACACCACAAACCCAACAAATCCACTGGAAACAAGCAAAGATTTGTACCTGGGAACCAGCAGCTGCAAATTGGGTAACTTGTATTTCTCTAAAGAAAACGCTGCTTAAATAGAAAGTGCTTTTTTTACCTGATGTGAAAAATATCTCAGTCAAGGCTCTCTATAGAGACCGTTCTGACCTCCCCCAGTACAACACTACCTCAAACGGAACCTCTCTACTGCAGAAACCAAAAGGGTAATTTCAAGTGGTATTTGTTGCCATATTTATTTAATCAGAAAGATTAAAAATTGGAAAGAGGAGGCAGAAAAAGGTTATTTAATAAGAGTAGGAAACATGGAAGGAAAGATGGCAACTTTAAAGGGGCTCCCCGTGATTACAGGAAGAAGGTAAATAGTGATTGGGGCGTGCAAAGCAATAATCTTTGTTTCTTAACCATGTTTTGTTTTTGTTTTTTAATGAAATGGGAAGGTAAAAGAACAAGGAAGCAGTAAGTGCAAAGAGATTTAGAGAGAGAGAGAGAGAGATAGAGAGAGAGAGAGAGAGAGAGATGGAGGAGTTGTGATTGGGTGTTTGGTTTTGGTTTAGCCTTCGAGTAATTTCTGTTTTTTGATCTAAAAAAAGAGGGAAGAAGTTAAGGAGACTGAGACTTGTGCGGCCTTCTCAAACGAGCGGAGACAGACCAGCCTCAAATCGCTCCTCACCATCTCGCTAAACTTGCATTTTCTTCATATATATTTATTGAAGAAAAACAATTAATTAATTTTTGTTTAATTTATTTACCATCTTTCTAGGTTACTATTTATAATGGATTAGGATTCTCTTTTTTTTTTTTTTCCATCCATTTCTATATTCTTTTTTTATATTTTTTATTTTGTCTTTTTTTTTCTATAAAAAAATTAATATAAAAAATTAATTTAATTTAATTATGACCGTTCAAATAAAAAATAAAGAAAATGATGAAAAAAAAAAGAGGAAATAGGATCCAATTCTATTTATAATAACTCGAACAATGTGAAAAGCCACTGGCAGACTGACATAGTTGTTTCTTATTTAAATTAAGTGGTTGCGGTTCTCTGCAAAGTTGAAACATTTTTTTATGTTATTTTATGATATTTTTGGGGCACATAGTTTACGTTTTATTTTCACATTCTTACAAACACAGTTTTGTTTAAGAATAATATTTGAGAAATTAAAATTTTAAATCAAATTTTATTTGTAATTGTTTATAATTGAATTATTACTTAAGTATTTGTTAACGTATTTATTTCGTATTGATAAAATATATTATTTAATATACAAATTCAATTTAAAAATTTAATCTTCCTAATATTATCATTTGTTTAATCCAAGGTTATATTAAATTACTAAACACTCCAACCATTTCACGTCCCACATTCCAATTTATGTTATGAAAGAGAGATTAATTTGGCATCCCAAGATGGTATTATACATTTCATTTTTGGAGAGTAGTAGTTGAAAAGGAGATCATCTCTCAAAGAAAAAAAAGAGAGATAAAATCTTCTGTATCCACTTTACGGGTGGCATTTCAATAATTTTCATCATTGAATAATACGTGTTAATTTTATGTTAATAAAATAAAAGAGAGCTAAGTTTATTAACACGTGTTTGTCAATGATAAAAGTTATAAACAGATCACACACAAAATGAGTTCAAAAAATTTAAACTTGTTTAAAAAGATATATGCATGCAGAAGAAGTATGTTTCCGCTTCTCCAACTAGCGTCGGTGGAGTAGTGACTAGTGAGACATTGCAATTGCAAGGGTAATAATGTTTTCTCCATTATCGGGAGATTTGGACTAAAAATCATCGCATAATACAACAAAAAAAATGTACGTGCAATAAATCTAACACAATAAATATGTTCATGCAAATTGAAATTTCAATTTGATAGATTGATGAGGTTTTGACAGTTTGACAAGAAAAAAAAAAAAAAGGAAAAGGTTGAGAGCGACACAAAGAGTGCGCTAAATATGCAGAAAGAGATCACGTGATACTCAGGTGGGGTTCATGTTTATGTTGGTGCTAAATTGTGTCTTGTAATATTTAGTTTTAGAGTTGGACACCACTACGTATTACATAATTACATATGGGTCCAATTTGAGGTCCACTTTCACGTTCCCATGATTTTGGTTGCTTATTATCGATGCATGCAAGTTGGTGAGCCTACGTACGAGAAAAATTAAGGTAGGTCCCTAGCTATGGATGTTTTCATGAGGTCATTTTTCAAAGTGGTTTAGATTAGCATGGTATTGGATGAAACTAAAAGATAGGATGTGTTTATTGCATCGAATTATCTCGAACTAGATTAGTTTCAATACCAAAATTAGATTGGATTGGGTTGGAATAAACAGAAGAAGAATTATGAAGTGTTTGATACAACGTGGGACTAATAAGTAGAATAAGGAAACATTAATTTTTTTGTAATTATAAAATATCGATGCTTCATTTTTTAGTTCACCGTGCAGAAATAAAAGAATTCACAGCAACATCATCCCTCTCACCGACCACCTCAATGGCTGTATGATTTTGGGTAAAGTCGGTTCGACGCTCACGACCATTCAATTTCCAACGGACGAGAATGTCGTCGAAGCACTGTCTTCCAGACGTAGGTCTTACGCTTGCTTGTCGAGGCTCTGTTGGTCAGGCTGCTGCTGGCGTACGAAGGAGAAGATGAGACTAGCAGTCCTCTCATTTTGGGGGGGCCTGGCCAATACCGCCTAGTGAAGGTGTTAGGACACGCGAGTTCCATTAAACTTAGTGCCTCTCTACAACAAACCTGAGACTTTCACTAATAATTAGTTCAATCCAGTTCAGTGAAGGTTAGTGATGTCAAATAAATATACCGTACGAGTCTTTTTTTTTGAAAGAATTGCTCGATATAATGATGTAGTTAGGTTGTCTTATTGAGATTTTCTCTATACAAGATGGTGACGTGTGGTTCTATATTATGCACTAGTGCAAGCCCAATTTAACTATCAATGCTTATGAGTGTGAATTGCAAGACTATATGTATACTTTAAACTAATCTAATTTAAACAAAGAGAGATTAAAACTTGAAAACTAAGGTATATCCATTGCTCTAATCAATGATCTTAACTTATATCTGCAATTGTTCGTAAAAATAAAAGGTGTTGATATGACCTTAAAGTCAATTAAGATAAGCAGTACTTTGGATGATTGGAATGATACTCCAATTTTCGAAAGTCGTGATCATGGCTTATAGAGGCCATCTGTGAAAATTACCAACTGGATTCTCCCTAACATAATCTTGTATGAAAATATTAAGATTTTTTAAATAATATACTGAGATTAGAAAGAAAAATTTATAACTTAAACAAAAGAAAATTTAAAAACTGAATTCATTACATCAGTTAACAAAAATAATTGAAGTTTAGCAAAACTACAAAGACATCATAATTTCGGGGATTATTATAATATTTAAAAGACCTCAATATTGTGTATTTTTAAGAAAGTGATATTCTAAATTATTATAGAGAATTGTTATTGGCACTCCAAAATTTTCATTCTACACTCCAAACTTTCTATATTCAGAAAGAAAAATACACTCGTGAGGAGTGTAGAATGAGAATTTTGGAGTGTCAATAACACTTCCCTTATTATAAATGTGAAAATAAAACCAAACTTGGAAGGGATTTTGAACACGCTATCATAATCAACTGTATTAAGTGTGCAAGCATTAATAGGTGTTTGAGAACATCTATAGGTGTGTGTTTGTAAATACGTTTAAAGTGATTGAAAGTGCTTTAACAAAAGTGCTTTTAGAATGAATTCTTAGTAAAAATATAAGTAAATCATGAAGAAAAAAAAAAAAAAAAAAAACCCTCCAATTGCTTTTGAAATTCCAAACGAGTGCGAAATTGAGTGTTTTGGAGGTTGTGAGAGAGAGTAGTACGCAGGCATTTTATTTGCACGGTGATAGAACTGAGATGATAATGACACTTTTGAGTAGGGAATGAGAGGAACGGAACAATCTCTCTATGATCAGCCACTTTCGAAGGTCCCCTCCTTTGCAATAGAGGACACTCATCCACTCTCGATTGTCAGGAGTTTACGTGTTCAATCAACCAATTAGAAACGGGAAATATGCAGAAGAGTGTGGAGTTGAGTTGGGTAAGATCCGTAACAAGGAAATGAGTATGTAATTTGCACTCTGTCGCACTGGCACGCATTGCATGTATACATAGTAGTAACAAGGAATATTACATTATTATTATTATTACTATTACTAGCATTTGCCTTGTGTGTATGAACATATTTTTTTAGAAAATGAGAAGGAGAGAGGGAGAGAGAGAACGTGGGGGGAGTGGGGGAGGTTTTTGTTTTTATTTTTTTTATTTTTTTAATTTAATATTTGAGGTATTTTAACATTACCTGTAGGTGAGGTTTCAATAAAAAACAATAAAATTTGGACCTGTGAAATTACATTTTTGCTCATCATTTTTTTGTGTGATAGAAGACTAAGTAGTATTTTCACCCTCTTTTGGTTGACAAAGAGAGTTTCATTAATTAATAGAGATTATTATTATTATCATTATATTATTATTAAAAGATTAGGCCACATCATGTTCCTTCTACTTTCTTTGTTTTTATGGGTTGAAAAATGGGGCTAAATGCTAATAGCCCAAACAACACTATCTAATAACAAATCTAAACCAGAACATTTAAAGTCAATTTTCACGAACAAAACTAACTAAAGAAGAAGGAGGATTATCCAAGTGAAAATTATCTAAATCTAAATCAAGACTATCCATCACTAGACTATCCGTCAATAGATTGCTCAGTTATTCGCCACAAAATTCTTTTCTTTGTAGACATGCCTAAGTTTGCATTGTCAAGATCTTGAAAGAAACTCTTGACATGCCAAAATAAGGGGACCAAACAATGATTACTGCTAGCAACTTGCAACCAAATGAACTATGAGTGCAGAGTTTGATTTAAGCAGTAATTTATCAATCCATAATCTTCATGCCAACTATAAGTCCAAATAAAGTCCTTAGGGCAGTAGTGAGAATCTCAAGAGTTCAAATTGGCTCAAAACCCATAAATTCATTTACTATCAGAATCTCTGAAAACACCGTATGCTCCAATAGAATTATTATTTCTCTTCTTGCAACCATCAACATTAAGCTTAAACCAATCTAAAGGAAGAGCTTCCCAATAGAGCAAAGATTCGGTCCTATAAGGTTTATCAAATGTGTGAGTATTAGCTGTCAACCATTCATGAAGTTAAGTACAAATAGAAATTGTAGGTTCTAGTCAGTGTAAAATTCTACTAAAAAACAAATTTATCTCGTCAATTCCAAATAAACTAATAAGCAACGAAAAAAAACTAACATTCACTTTAAACCACCCCCACACGCCCCCCGCCCCCCCCCCCCCCAAAAAAAAAAATAAAATGAATGATTTAGTGGCGAGATTAAAATGAAGCCAATCATGAAAATCACTGTAGTTTGACTATTGATTATACATTCTTAACTTCTGCCACAAACTTCTCTTGCCTGAGGACAATCTTTAAAAGATAGCCACTGATTCAAAGCCCCAAGTACATCTTTGACAAACATAACAACGACAAAGCCTTATCACACTAAGTGAGGTCCGCTTTATGAATTATAGAACCCTACTGCGCTCGGTTTTGCGCCAAGTCTTAGTTAGCTCCAAGTATTCCTAGTGTTTTCTTAAAGTTTCTTTCAAGCCTTCTTAAGTCTTCATCTACCCCTTTTGCCCTCAGGGTTATTAGTCATACTCTTTTTCACATTTGATCATTAGTTAGGAGCTTATTAAGAGATAGCATTAAGGCCCAACATATAAGTAAAATTAACTATAAAAATTAGCATCACTTGTTCCAGTCCAAGTACACGTATCAGCCAAAGTATCATAACCATCTAGAATGCTAAGAATTTGTTTAACAATCTCCTTTGGTAAAACAAGTAATAGTTTACCAATATCCAAATCATTATTGTAACTATAATAAGTTCCAGTTGCCTTAAGCATATTAGTGGAGAGCAGGCAACTAGCAAGATGAAGCAAAATACCACATTTAACACATTTGTTAGTCCAAAATTTTACTTTATTACCATTTCGAATTTGCCATAGTAGCCCTTCATTGCAAAAGTTTAGTCTCCTCAAGAACACCTTTCCAAGTGTAAGAAGAGCCTAAAGTAGTTTTATCATTGAGCAACTAATCCACAACCCCTTTAATATACTTGCCATTGAAAACTTTTGCCCAAAGACCGTTATACCCCTACATCAATCTCTAAGTGTTCTTATCAAGAAGAGCCGAATTCTTAACCGTCATGTTTTTCAAGCCAAGCCCGCCCACCAAGAGACTTCGGAAGGCAAACTTGGCTCCATTTAACCATGTTATTTTTTTATTTATTTTATTTTTTTTCCGATTAAGTGGAGCCCAAGACAAAATTGTTATTCAACTTGTCTAGTTGATCACAAATGGTAATTGGTAATTTCACTGTCTGCATAGCATATGCTGGGATAGAGGAGGTAACAGACCGAACAAGAGTGGACCGTCCAACAAAAGATAACGAATTCACTTTTCAAGTAGAAAGTCGAGCTTGAATCTTTTCTACCAAGCCTTTGTAGGTGGTTTTAGTGATGTGATAATGAATGAGTAGAACTCTCAAATACTTCTCCAAACCATTAGTTAGAAGAGAACCACAGATGCAACTAAGATCAAGAACCAATGCCGTACAGAATATTAATAGATTAGTTCAGTTTTGTATCGAAACTTAAAAAAAAAAAAATAAAAAAAAAACCCTTATTTGAAACTAACCGACCAATTTTTTCCGGGTCAAACCAAGTTCGGTTTCAGTTTTCGGTCCATTCTGCCACCCGTACCCAAAAAAATTTGATCCTTTTGGATTTTGGTTATTTTTTTCCTCAATAGTTTCAGGATAAAGCAGTGAAAATCTGCCTCATAATAATTATGTAAATTATATTTCAGTCCTTTTTTACTGGACCTTAAAATGCACAGAATATACTTGTCCTCACAACAGCAGCAACTAAATGCTTGATTAGTCAGAGAGACTCGGATACTTGTTCTCACATCCGCACGGAACTAATCTCAAAACCAAACACATTAGGAAAATGCTCGTAAATGACACTAACTGTAGCGAATGGTCTCATCATATCTATAGCATCTTCCCTTGGTATTGATATGTTATCAATACAATCGATATTGTCTTATTATACCGGTAGCAAATGGTCTCTTTGACAGGGAGAAGGACTTATACAGAACGGGTTTTTGAAAAATCTACTTGCTTACGCGATCCTTTTGTTTTCTAGTTTGCTTGTACTTTTAGTTTGAGCAAACGATAGACCAAACATTACAAAACTAATAACTCTTAGTAGAGCGAAAACAGTTTTCTATGAGATGGAAATGAAGACTATTAGCTCCACAAAAAGTTTGTGAATAAGTGACTATTTTATAATGAGCAAAGAATATCCGTCCTTTTGCTAACATGACGTCCTGTATCTTGTAATACATTGTTAAGTGCAAATTTTTCTTTACATGACAATGTATTATTAGATTGAGACATCACGTTGCAGTGAACCTATTTTATGTAAGTTGTTCTCCTTGAAAAAATGTAAATTAATAGACGGTATATATCATGAATTGTTAGCATTTGCTACAGTAAAAGAGAATTTTGAAAAAATATATTCGATTAGGTCAAGGGTTCACGATAATTTATCAACCAAAAGCCCCAAGATCAGTCCGAGTAGTGAAAGGAGGCATGAGAATAAATTAGAACTTGGTTAAGTCAAAGGTTCGATTACAAACACATCTCTCTTTATATACAAAAGAAAAACAACCTTTATTTATTTTTCTATTTCCCATTTTTGGCAGTGTTGCTTTCTATACTCTCAAAGAATCTATATGTCATCCAGATTTGTTGACATTACAACTGATGGCAAACCATGATTATCCACTTCTTTCGGAAGCTGAGAAAATTTACAGAGGCATTTCAACACTCCCCTTACCACAAATCTGACTTCCATACCAACAACGGTTTCAAACATATAAAGTGGCTTACTTTGCATAAACTTTCATAATTTAGGGCCGAAAGTAGCGTTCTATATTTTAGTCCAGATACACCATAAAATAATATATATATATATACACGCCCAACAATACAACCTATATAGGAAATAGGTCCTATCCAACCCCCTCCCATGAAAAAAGCACAGAAATCCGATCTCATATGATCCTCAAGAGTCTTGTATGCTGCCAGTGCATCTCCGAGATGTCGTGCCGCCATGAAAAATTTGCCTTCAAAGGGAGGCATTTTTCCAGTATATGTGGCTGTGCAAGGACCTTGATCACAAGGTTGGCATGTACAACAGGAGTATAAAAGTCAACCGAGAACTCACTAGATGCTGTTCACTAACTTCTCAAATTTCTGGGCAATTGCATGATGCTTCCTACTATTGTACAATTGGATTAGCGACCCAATTGCGTTGCATATCATCTCGTTCTTCGGATTCCCGGTGGATTTATTATTCTCAAGTTCAGCTTGACTACTTGTCTCTCCAAGTGACGAGCATAGCACCTTGAACCAGTCTTCGAGGAACGAGGCTTTCTGTATCCGCAGAAAGAAAATGAGTCCAAGAAAATGGACAGATCAGCAAACATGAACATATGCACACATGACCATTTTCTTCATCTCCGAAATGAAAACTGTTATTATGGTTCACTTGGTCACTTCGTGAAAATGATCTAAGGTATGACACGGTAAAATCTTTTTCTACAATAAAACTCGTGGATAAGTAACCATGAATGTTATACTGGGCCAAGTTAATTCAATGTACGTGTAAGAAACACTTACTTTTACAAGGAAATCTTTGATGGGTTCATGATCGGAACTTGAAGTGAGGATAAGAACATGCAGCACGGTTGAGGTCAACTGAACCAGACAGAAGAAAAAAACTATTAAACACATCATATAACCCAAACAGATGCACATTAAGCCAAAATGCACTATTTCAACCAATATTAATACATAACTGCTCAGGTGCATTACGTACCTGGTTTTCAAGTGCAACCCTATATTTGAAATTTGATGGTGATGCAATTCGGTCTGAACTTTGATTCTCTAATATATGCATAAGACCCTGGATGACATCGGAGAAGGATTCTCCATAATCTACAACAAACCAAAAGGCTTCTCTTTTAGTTTCCAGATTATATGAAGCAATGATTTAAAAGATTCTCATACAAAACATAACGAGCAAGATTTTCTTGATCAAGAATGCATCCAGAAGATGTCAGTCAACTAATCGAACCGATAACAGTAAAAAATGAACTTTGGTGGAGACCAATGTTTTAAAAGGCCCGCCTCAGGGCATGCCTAGGCGCCTTGTGAGGCTGGGCTTGAGGGTTGCCGCCTCTGTTTTGAGGGAGTGGGCGGAAGGCGCCGCCGGAGCAGCTTAGGCGCGCCTCAGGGGATTTTTTTTATTTATTTATTTTTGTTCTTTTACTCCCAAAGTTAATGTTTTAAAAGGCTCGCCTCAGGGCGCGCCTAGGAGCCCTGTGAAGCTGGCCTTGAGGGTTGCCGCCTCTGTTTTGAGGGAGTGGGTGGAAGGCAGCGTCGGAGCCGCCTAGGCGCGCCTCAGGGGATTTTTTTATTTTTTTTTTGTTTTTTAACTCCCAAACCCAAAATTTGGGTAGGGTTTTAATTGCCTCATACCTCTTCCTTGCACTATCATCTCGTTGCCTTTTTTTCTTATTTTTATTTTTTTATATAATGGATGTGTGTGCTGTCTCCATGCATTGTTATATGTGTGCTCAATGTGCTTTTCATCCTTTATTATATATATAATAAAATATAATATATGTATATATGTGTGTATATGTATTTATAATATATGTGTGTGCTCAGGGTGATTATTGATTAATAATCTTCTTTTTTTTTTAATGTATATATGTGTACGCTCAGTGTATATAGTAAAAAATTTAGGTCCCGTGAGGCTTTGCCTCACGCCTAGGCTGGGCTATCCCTCGGACACCTCGCCCACGCCTCACGCTTTTAATACATTGGTGGAGACTGACAGCTGGCATATAACATTGTGAAGTTACAAGGCAACCATGACATAGAAACAAGGGTAAATCCAACTACATACCAAATACTGATGCTGGCACGGCCAAAGCAGAAGCAGCTTGAATCCTGATCTTAAAGTTGGAAGAATCGCGTAATAGTAGTAAAAGAATACTAAACACAGACGAAGCCCTGTCAGAAAACAATGCATAGTTAGCTTTTTTTTAGTTATGATTTATGAGCTTACTTTCGTACTTTAGGAGAATGCGGAGAAAACAAGCTATTATCGTGTACACTAGTAAAATATTGGGCATTTCAACCTAATACATCAATAAATTGATTTCCAACAGGAAAAAAAAAACATCATAACCATGCCAGCATAAGATTCAAACTATACCAATCCATGTCTCGCAGTCTTAATGTCTCATTCAGAAATAGGTTGCTTAAAGCATGACAAACATTCCATTGGACCTGTTAGATGCACAGTAAAATTAGAGTTGAAAACAGAAGATAATAATGAGGATACAGTCTCATCCATTCCACTCAAATTAGAATAAAATCTCAGCAAGTTAGAACTGTCAGGATGATACCTTAACATTACCAGTCGTAACACAAGAAATAAATGCCTGAACGACCCTCTCTAGCCAACGCGAATCTCCCAAAGAAGCTGGATGGCATGATATTGATACATCTCTTTGACTTCCTTCCCTGTAATTGCTTGATGATATTTTGTCAGGTTTAGTGCTCTTTATTGGCATACCATTATTGTCTACTATCCTGTCACTATTGCTTCTATATTTGATAGATCTTGAAAGATTCCCTAGAGCCCTTACAGCATTTGATTTAATCTGATTGTAGAAACGAAAAAAAAAAAAACTCAGAACTGTGAGATATACATAAATTATCGATGACTATAAATGAGCAGACACTATAAATTCTTTACATCTAAGTATCTAACTGATAACTTGGCTTATTATCATCATATTCAACTAACATATAGAAAGGAGGAAAAAACGAAATGACTTGACTTATTAACATATCCAACCTTATCTCCATCCTTAGTCAGACGCAAAGCGCACTCGGTTAATAATGTGAATAATTTAGAGATTTCAGGATAGCCTATATAAAAATGAAAAAAGAAAAAGAAAAAAGAACAATAGAAAGAAGATTAGTAGTTTGAATAATCAATGATACAGTGTAAATACCATTGATATATCACGCTTCTAAATTAAGCTCACCTCCAGATTGTTTCAAGGCAAAATCATCAATACAATGACGGATAGAATCACATATGTTTGCCAGAGCCCAAGAAGCAGTTATTCGCACCTGAAATAAGAATTATATGAAAGGTTTTGACTGCTTAAGAAGTAAAATGAAATACGAATCTTAATAAATAGAAAATATAATTAGATAGACAGGAAAATACCGAGATCAGGGGATCACGAGTGTTAATCTCCACAGCATGAACAAACTTATCAAGGATCTCTGCACTATATAATTTAAGTTCTTAATGAATCTCTGTCAAAGGTTCTCGAACAAAGCATATAATTGGTAGACGACGAAGTCGATAACAGATAAAAGAACTCGGAGAATCATTCAATGCCATTAAAAACAAGTCAAAATCACCTTTGAGAAACTTGAGGAAACATTGATATGACTCCAATGGCTCGACAAGCAGCTGACCTAACCGAAGGCACATCATCACTTACGGCAGCACGAACCTAAAAGGATTTGTACGTATAACCGATAAGAAAAAAAGCTTTCTATTCCATTACAAAAAACAGAGAGGTTACAGTATAGCACCAGTGATTAGTTACAAGAAAACTTACAGAAGAAGAAAGAATGAAGTCTTGTTCTTCCTTCGACAATGAGAAGAATACAGAAGAAGTTATACCCGCAAAACATGTAACAGAGGCTGCTCTCACCTTCAAGGAAATTTATAAGGTTCAGAACAGTAGATAAAAACGCAAAAAGATAATCTCTACATTTGGTATATTACCCCACTTGGGAAAAAGTCAAACGTTTATAACAACTAACCACTGCAGAAGGATGGTGAAGAATCAGAGCCATATGTTTCTCAATTGTCTCACACCACTGCTCTGTTCCAGATTGACATGATGTGGGTTCATCTGAGTTCTCTGGTTCATAAAAAGGGGCAGATGAAACTTTTTTCATCCTTATGCAGTCAGAAATAAATGGAGCATCAAGTAATTTATCATCTAAAGGGTCTTCAGTTCCTTTAAATCCAGATATTGCCCGTAGACATTCATCCAAAACCTGATAATTGCCATCAAGGATCATTATACGTATATGTCCGCGAGGGGAAAAAATCAATTACATGAATATGACCTAAAAATACCATTTTGTAAGGTCTCGCTTGTTTCTAATGTACAACAAACTCAACAAAAATTAATATTATTTATTCACTTTTTGGAGAGGAAAAATAACTGATATTAAAGGACTCTTACTTTAATAGCAGCTGTAATGACTTTTTCCCCAATAAATCCAACAAAATTTCTAGTATTGCCTTTATATCCTGTAGGAACTTCAGGAATAGCTGCCCTCAAAACACCATAAACAATGGTGGAAATTTGTTCCCAACAGGAAAACATTATGCTTGGGTAATTATGGGACACAGCCCTAAGCGCCTACAAGAAACAATATAAGCCTTAAATATAATCACCACATGCGTCAAAATAGCCACACTCCTTTAAGAAAAGAAAAAAGTGCATAGAAGAAAAGACACTACTATAAAAACCACAAGCATTTCACGACAGTTGATGGCATGCTACATGCTTGCCCAGAAAAGAATCAGCACTGCTGCAAAACCTGATTATCATAAATCAATTACCAGAAGAGCCTCAAAGCATATTGTTGGGTTGCTAACTTGTTCTGAAAATTGAAACAGTGTAGAGAGAACACCTGACTTCTTTTTAGCATCGACAAAATCTGGAGAAAGGCACGGAAATGAGACAAAGTGGAAAGGCACAGAAATGAGACAAAGTGTGACGATTTGCAATAGGATGGTGTAGCTTAAGAATTAGCAAACATGAGCACCAGTAAAGTTAATCAGTTATGCTATCAATATTAAGCTCACCATTAGATATCTCTGCCAGAAGCATTTCTTTAATTTGCAGTGAAGAAGGTGAGATATTCAGAGCGGTTGTCAAGCAACTAATAGAAGAAGCCTAATCAACGAGATAAAAATAGTTAAGATATAACAGTGGAGAAGGGCAGGCAATGCAGATATTACCCTTTACCTGAAAAAGAAATAGAAAAAAAAGGACAACTAACCAGCAGACCAGTCTGATCACTTTTGAATGGAAACCCATTTTTCATCCTTTCTTGTAGAGATGTAAAAACTGTTGGCAACAACTCTCCAGGCATTCTTGAATATCTGTAAAATGATCATTGACAGGAAATATAAGTACAAAAGATTTTTCTCAAAAAAGAGTAGGGAGTAACATCATATATCGTTTTGTTGTGTACACAAGTGTCTAATAAAATAAATAAAATGCTATTATGAAGAATCCATATTCATAGCGCGCCACTTTTCCTATCCTCGTTGCAATAAACAAAGAATATTGTTTGAAATCAAGATTTGCGGAGTCAGATCCTAAAGTAAAGGAGGTGACTTACTCACCCAAAAGTAAGGGAAGTTGGTAAGGGAAAGATTCAAACCCAAAAAGGCCATAAAGGCAAAATAAAATGCTATTAAAGCTGTAAGCCAAATTGCCCAATTTCAGAATTGAATTAAAAAGTACACACTGAATAGTTCTAACAGGAGGTTTTTGGAATCTGAATACAGCTTAAGAGAAACATAAGATGATACAAATGGTTTGAACACCAAATCACATTTAAACAAAACCAAAGAAAAGAAGCAAATCATTAACAATTACAAAAAATTTGGGGGAGAACTCATACGGTGTAGATGATATCAATAGCATGAGAATCTTGAACAGGGATGCCATCAGTCTACTATGAGTTTCACGTTGAATTAAGTATAAAATACCTACACCAGATACATCATAAAAATTGTGACATCATGAGAATAAGTTACTTGAACATGTAAAAGTAATATTATTGCAGCGAAAGTATGAATTTGTGCGGCATAGTGGCTTTCACATACCTGTATGAAGCTGCATTAGTATATGTCCAAGGGAACTTGAAAGCGATGTGAAAGATCCACGTTTAGAAGATTCCTTGAACTCTGCTACCTGCAGAAAAACAGATGACGGGCCATCCAACATTGCTTCCAGGGTTGATGCAGAAGCAAGCCGTGCCTAGCCACAATAGAAAAGCACATGTCAGCTAGAAGCACCACTGAACATAGATTATTATATAACCATTGGAGTATGTATGAAAGTTGTGAAAATGAGAAAACAAATTGCCATGAACCATAGCAGAAGTACAAAGATATTTTACATAAACCCAGGGTCTAGATTCAAATAATTCACCAAAAGCAAGTGCAGTGTCTAAATCTAATCAGTAACAACAGTTAATGATACCTTTAGATAAGGATCAAATAGCAAGCATGTCATTAGTGTTGCTTCATATTTCCTGTAATTCAGAATTAACAGGAAAAACTGAGTTTGGTGGTGGAGGATCAAGTATACAAAATTATCTATTCGGGAATAGGAGAAAGTGGGATGCTTTACCTAGGTTGTAGTACATCACTGGTTGGCAATAGCAGCGTCCATTGGCTAGTAAATGATTTGGAATCAGCTTGACAAAGATCCTTCACCAAATTAACAAAGAAAAGAAGTAAGTGTGCAAACAGTAAAAGATTTCATTGTCAAAATACAGCATCCCGATTTCTCCATACATAATGGATAATGTCATTGTGTTAAGATGTTGTCACTTGTCACCATCTTGTTAGATTTCATAATATTAACAGGTACTCCAGTTAACAAAATCAACTCAAAGAGCGAGGTAATCAATATAGCTACTTACTCCAGCCAGAGGGCCAGATCACATAACATTTGCTTAACATTTTCCTTCGGCCAGAACTTTTAACAAGTAAAGAAATATTGCTTTTCCAAAAGGATTGGTGGGATTCCGTAGCTTCAAGAAGACAATAAATTTTTAAAACAAAAGCAGCTACTTTTTGCTCAGCCATATTATCCACTGCTTCAATCGAAGCCTAAGATTTAATCACTGTCATTAATCACTTAAGATTTAAAACAACGTTAATCACTTAATACTAAACTTTTTTCTTCTAGCTAGCTTACACCGCAAGATTTAATTGGATGCCGTGATGTAAATTAGTATTTCCTCCTTTAAGTAAAATAAGAGAGCTAAGATCTATGGGAGGTGAGATTCTAAGGCAGGGCACATCCTATTCTGTAGCCTATTATTGACATTGAGATAAAAAGAAGTGAATACTAAAAAGACAAAAAAACTGAAAAAAGCTTTAATAACTTTGACATTAGGAAAAAGTATAAGAATCAAAAAATTGCAAAACTTACCTGTATACAAACAGTGGCAGCTACTCGGACTTTTGATTTCTGAATGTTGTCAGTGTCTTTAATTGATCCATCACTGTCACTGTAATCTGAATCTGACAATGCAAACTCATTTGCGGAAGATTCATGGTCCGATAAACTTTGAGAACCTTGAGCTCCACTCTTCTTCATATTTGAATTGTCCCTTTGGCGCAGGTGTGGAGGCCTATATGGAGTACGATCCGTCTTTTTAGAATCTTCCAAACCCAACTTAAGGCTTGCTAAAGTAAGTTCTTTTTCCTTTTGACCAATTGCTGAACAGGTATGTTGGGTTCTACTATTAATGCCATAGGAAAAGAACATTCGCAAAGCAGCCACAAAACTTGACACCTGAAAAGGATAATCAGATCCAGTAGGTGTGAATATGATGGTTGAAGACAAAACTCTATCAGAACCAGGCTATAAGTTTATTATAATTGCAGTAAACAAAAGCATCAACTTACATGGTCAGAAAGCGAACACTTACGATCTGCGACAGTCAAATGCAGACAATGCAGAAGAGATAAATAAAACCTGCAGCAGCACAAATGGCGTACCATTGCCAATATATATAAGGATGAGAAATTCGTTTATAAAATGTCGAAGCAAGCAATAGTAGAGATTGTTGGAATACCTGGACATAAATGCGTCTTCCACAAGCTGGCTTTTAGTTGCCAAGCCATCCATCACTTTCCTAAAAACCTAGGTGAGAGCAAAACTGCGTCAGCATCACATATACATACATACACATACACAGAATTACAAGCGTCAAAAAAATTATCGGACCTCGATTGTTGATCCCCAGATGTCCAATGGCAAGGTTAAACCAACTCTGGAGATTGCCTCTCCAAGCATAGTAAATGCAAGTGTCTGAACTTCCCATAAGCTACAATATCGAGGCACCGGCATTCTCTTCCCAGCTTCAAGAACCGAGCTTTGGTTGCAAACTGAGCTCAACTCTGCATGAGAGCTCTCAATGATGCGCAGCAGGAACTTCACCAGCTGAACCTCCTCCCCCGTCGTGCATTTCCTCTGATACGCGCTCATAACACGTCTAAAGATAACGAATTTACAAATTACAATCGAATTCACAATCAGAACGCAAATTTTCTGGAAATGGAACCGGAAACCAGAGGAGTTGAGCATACCTTAGAGTCTGTAGAGCTTCCATAACCGGCGTGAAGGACGAAGAGCCGATGAACGAGCGAATCATTTTGTTGAAAGCGTCGAGGATCAGAGTCCAAGAAGCTGAATTGATCTCGAGCGGAACACGATGGGAGATATCATGGATCTGAATCAAAACGACAACAATTTTCAAAATTTTCAGAGAAAAAACGAAGAAGCAAAGTAGCAGAGCCAAATTCTCAGTCGAATACATACCAAGTGCGTTATGTGAGTGAACGAGGGAGTCAGGTCTTCGCCGCCGTGAGACTTTGTGGTGACGAGATCCATGATGAAGAGCAAATCGGAGGTGACTTCCAGCGGAGGTAGGTCGTGGGCGGCGGAGAGGAGAGTGTGGGAGTGGGAGAAGATGGAATGGTTGAGGAGCTCGGGGATTGGAGTGCGCAGAGGAGTTGTTAGGGTTTCGTCCCTCACTGTTAGAAACGCCGTCCTCCACCACCGTACTGGCGATGACGACGGTGATGCCGCTGCCGCCATTTCAGAGCTTGGCTTCTCAGCCCTTCCAATTCCAACCCACTTTCAGTTAGTCGTATCGGACACTGTCCAAACTGATTCGGTTGGACAAGAGAGACCCGGTCCATTGGGCCCAAAAGACTAGATGCTGGGCCCATTTGGAATATTCATATATGGGCTTAAAATATGCCCCCGTCTAATGGCGAAGGTTAGTCCACTTGCTTTTGATTCAATTCTAGAATCGGAGAAACTTTTGCAAGTGGTTTGTAACTCAGTTGGTTAAGAGCATTTACCTTTGTATGTGAGATCTTGTGTTTTAATCTCCTTCCTCATAGTTTAATGTAGATTATCCTATTGTTTATAAATAATAAAAAAAAAAACAAAACAAAAATCAAAAATCTTAAATTCGGATACCTGAACCATGTCAGTCATTGGGTACTCTTCACAAAAAGCAAGAGGATTCCTTGCATTTGGTTCCACTCAATCTCATATTTCCCTTATTGCCTTGAGTCTGTAGCCATATACAGCGTCCGTAGAGAAGAATCCCTATCCTAAGTTCTTTCTTGTCTAAGAAACCTCAATTTCACAATACATTAACCATTTTTCCACATTGTTTAACTTTAAGAAAGGGCGCCTAGACTTGCTAAGACGTCCACCTAAGTCGCAGCTCTCACTTAGATATAAAATATATAACTTTCATTTTGCATTTTATTTATTTATTTTAATAAATTGTAAGCGACTTGTTGAATACTTAGATGAACACACAGTATATGATTGTTCTTCATGTTTTCATTATATTCTAATACTTTATAATCTATATGTCATTTTATTTTGCAATTTATGTATCTCAATACAATTATGTAGTTTTTAAGTATAAACAGGTGCTTATTTATACAATATATGATAAATTTACTTAAATTCACATAGTCCACCTAGACCCCCGCCTATCCACCTAAGTGTTAGGCTTCAACCCGCCGCCCGACTAAAGTCTAGCGTCTTTCTTTACAATAAAGAATGTGAAGGTAAAATATTAGCAATAACTATACTAAGTGTAGGTCATAACCATCTAACTAGCGTGGTCGTCATAGCATTGGTACTGTAAGGATCCACGATTGCATTTGCATGGGGCGATGGGCCACTTTTGCATCATAATTTGAGCACTGTTTACATCTTAGTTCAGAGGCCAAATCCAACATGCAGGAAAAAATAGAGAGAAATTAAAGACACAAATTACGTGCAAAAGGAAGACAGCTGAGCTGAATCTTACCCGGCCATCCAATTAATTGGGAGGAATTCTTGTGTAGTTCAGAATTGCCTCGCAGTGGTCACTGTGGTGGAACTAGGGGGTATGATACTAAAATACTATTAATATACATATTTATACTTGTACATATAAAGAATATTTTCATTTTTCATACACTTCTAAATTCATTCGCTAAAATATATGTTTTTCAAAATCAAACGTACTATATGTGTGCTATATACGTATATTTACACTGTTAATGTTGAATGCATTTAGTTTCACATATTTTTTAGTATAACATATAAAAATTTCATGTATTATACAAATATTTATAACTTAACAAAGAAAGATTAAAAAAAAAAAATTTGTAAAAAGAACTTTTAACATTTTAAATAATAGCCGAACTTCGTATTTATTTAAAAAGTTGCATAATAATATACGAACTTATTTTTAAGTGCTATAACGGCATCGTCTTCTCCTAACTATAAGAATCGTTATCAATGTTAGAAATTGATACTCCAAGATAATTTATAATGGAGAGAGATGGCGATGTGAGTGCGTACATGACGATGTGTGCGGACAGACTGAACATGTGTCCGTATTTTTAAGTAGGTCTTATAATGCGTGCGGACAAACAGAAAATGTGATCCAAACACCTGTCAGTTAGATAGGTTGAGTCACACATGAACAGTGAATATTATCTACATGTCTATTTCCTGCCATGACATAAAAAACGGAAAACTGATGCCCTAGCATGCACAGAAATGGGCTACGCTGAAACTGAAAGCAGCCTCAACCAAACACATTGAATATTGTCCCAATCCCCCCATTAATTTCTGCTGTGAAGTTACCTTCGAAGCAGGCAACCTCACTAAAATATTTTTTCACTTGGCTTTCTTTTGTTTTGTGTGTTTTATTAGTTGTTGGTATTGCAGGTTGGTGATGAAGAAGGTTCAGAGTGTGTGATGGAGGCCTAGTTGGACAGCCCACAGCCACACGATGTGAACTCTATTATCCAACTGTGTGGGTCCAAATAAGCCGGCGTCGTTCCAAGCCCATACATAAGCTCATTTACTCTCGTGGTCCTGGTACATTAGAGCTTGTTCTACTCACATCACCATCTCTCTCCATCAGAAATTATTTTGGAGTTATCAATTTCTGACATTGACAACGATTCTTATCTCTCTCTTTTACTCTTCTCTTTTATTTCTTTGCCGGATCTTGGTTATAATGTCCTGTGCATGCCAATGTTTGGCTTGTTAATGCATGACGAAGTATGTTACGGTTAGTCGCACATGCACATGTATTATAAATTCTTAATTAATGCATGTGAAATTTAAAACTAATGCATCAATGATCAGACTTCTTCCCCTAGTCCCTAGCCGACCTGCGCAAGCTAACTACATGCATGATTTGGCATAGTGACTGGACAAACTAACAACATACATGCATCAACAGTCAAAACTTAAGCACATATCTAAACAACTGATGTTTGCAAAAAATCATAGATGACTCACATCACCTGCATCAGAAGTCAAAAACCACCCAGACACGCAATTACCTAGCCGTCTCTTGTTGTAATGTTATTTGAAAGCTTTTGAATACCTAGCAGCAGCCAAGTATAATATAATAGATGTTGCCTTCACAACTTAAGTGACGTCTAATCTTTTGAATACCTAGCAGCAGCCAAGGAATCAAGGATGGAAACGGGGCTACAGAAACGTCGACGTCTCTTGAAAATTATATGGAGCCATCTCTCTGTGCCCTAATAACACCAAAAACAGACACTCCGGTTGTTTCTATTTGGAGACAAGCTGAAGCTGCTGCCCTTATCAGCTTATCCACTACTGCTGTTTGCTTTTCTTTTTTCAGAAGGGAAAAACTACCGCATACTGCAACAGAAAAAAGCGCACTGATTAGTTTACAGAAGCACACAGTAATTTTTAGGTAATGGATTTTTCTGTAATTTTATTTCATACATACATGATAGATGATACACCCACCAGGTCCACCTTATCATAATCATGATTACTCTTATTATTTTTCTAATCCTCTATCTCCTTGTCTATTATCGAGCGTGTGTGTGTGTATATATATATGTGTGTGTGTGTATGCGCGCGCGCATTGTATCTCTCATCACATGATTTCACTTGATGTATATAATAAATAATGCCGATAAACATAGTTATAAGTCTGATTACATGCAAGATTTTCTCTGTTGAGGAAGAGGCTATGTGGAACTTAATTACATCATTACCATGGTCGTATCATCATACACAAAGCAAACCTAAAATTGATGGCTTGAGTTAGAAGGAAAATGAGTTGGGATATGCATGAAGCTCAATGGGGTCAGTTGGGAATTAATTTAATTATTCATGTGTTACTACCAAAGTTCTATGTAATTTAAATCATTTGATTAATTCTACTTATGTTTAGTTTATATAAATGAGAAATGCTAAGGGGATTATCTCAAAAGTGTTACCTTCTATGGACTTTCTGTCACTTTATGTTTTTAGCATAATATTTTATAATGTTGGCAAGATAATTAACGTTAAACTGTGAAGTGGTAGAAAGTCTATGGAGAGTCCTACTTTAAGAGATTTTCCTTAGCATTTCTCTATATAAATATATAGAAAAGGTTAGGGCATGTTTGGTACTCTTCTTGAATCCAATTTTTAAAATAAAAAACAATTTTCAAATTTTAAGCCTTAAAAACTTGTTTAGTAGGACTATTTTCAAAAACTGAACTCAAGACTAATTAAAAAATATAGTCTATTATCTAAAAACATAAAAAGTGAGTTTTTAAAGTTTTTAAATTTAAACTCGTTCCTTTCTTTTATCAACCTCCTTCTCTCTCACTCCAAATCTATCTCTTTCCTGTTTTTTATTTTTTATCTTTTTCGTCTATCCTCCAATCTATTCTCTTCATTCTCTCGGTTCTCTCTCACTGCTCTTCCTCTCTATCTCGTCCGATCATCTCTCCTCTTTTTGTTTCCTTCAATCATCTCTTACTTTCTTTATTCCTCTCTCCTATTTCTCCCTCTCCTGCGACCCCTCTTTTTAAATCTATTTGTCTAGTTGTAAGATTTAAAAAATTTAGATCGCAAACCAATCAATTTTTTGAGTCTTAAAGAAAATTGTTTTCAAGAAATGTTCTTAAGAAATGTTTTGAGAAATGATAAAAATTTTAAATAGGATACCTAACAGGTCCTTAGCTTTAGTATAATAAAAAAAAATGTGAAGGAGAAGGAAATGTGTGCGACAATATTTTGCGTCCTAATGGTGCTCTTTGCTAATCTTAAGAGAAAGCAATATAAAATTGAGAAAACTAAGTTTAACCTTGTTCGTTTGGATACGTATTAGGATTTTGTGAGGTCATGACTCATGACACTCATTATTTACTTATATTGTTTGCTTAATTATGATGAGAAATAAGATCTTAAATAACACTTAAGGGGTGTAGTCAAATTAGGATTTGATATGATCTTAATGGACTTTAAAATCAGCGGGTGGTCAATTAGGATTTTAGAAAAAGGATTTTAAAAGACTTTGAAATCATGGTGTTGTCAAATTAGGATTTAAGAGGATTTTAAAAATACATCCAAATCCATAGGTAGTCAAGTGAGATTTTAAAAGACATTTTTAGAATGATTCTAAATCTATGGGTATGCAAAAAATAAAGATCTGGTAGGATTTCATGAAGAGCTGGATTTCGTTGGATTTGATAGCTTGAAGTATATATACCCAACACCAAATACAATCCCACCTCAACCCCTGGGATTTCTTTCAAGCTTATGTTCCATTGTCTCTCTTCGGCCTTCACTTCTTAGCCATAAGTAGCAGGAGAACTACTTCTCTGGTCCATATACTGGTGAATCAATACTCACTCGCACACCTTTGACCCTTTCCACTATTGTTCTTTATATTTTTATGCCTCAATGTGGTAAAGGGTCAGTTAAACTCATTGAATCTGCCATGGAAGTGGTAGGTTTGTTAATAGAGTTGCAGATTGACTTGAGCTATGGAAATATATCATTTCAAATCAAACCCAGAAGTTTGATTACCAATCCAATCAGCAAAGTAAGACCAAAATTCAAAACCCACCATCGATAATGTAAGAACATATCGACCCATTGGTAAAAAAATCAAACCCAAAGAAGAAGAATTTGATTTGCACCTGAAAATCCTATTGAATCACTCGTCGATGCTCCGAATTGAATTTGAATAAAAAACAATCATTCTTCAGGGAGACAGAAAATGGATAAGATAATTAAAAAGTTTGAATTGGGTTGACATGCCGGCTTGAAAATGAAGCAGCGGCATAATCACGTTTTAGGGCACGGAGGCAGAAAATGGTTTTTCTTTTGTTATTTGAAAAAATTAAAACAATTTAATAAAGATAAATGAAAAGAAAAGACTATGCAAATCCATCAAAATCTACAAATAAAATCCATACAAATCCATAATAATCTATAATATAAATTCATATAAATATGTCAAAATCCATATAGAAGGGAAGTGTTATTGGCACTCCAAAAATCTCATTCTACACTCCTCACAAGTGTATTTTTCTTTCTAAATATAGAAAGTTAGGAGTGTAGAATGAGAATTTTGGAGTGCCAATAACAATTACCATATAGAATTGTACATACATTAAAATCATTTGAAATTTGTCACTTAAAAAAAAGTCTATTAAAATTCTCTGAAATCTAAATTGACTACTCTCTCGCTCCACTCACAACTCCAACTCCGCTATTTCCCTCAAGTATATCCACTTGAAGTTAACCTCTTTTTTCTTTTACATTTTAAGAAGGGTAATGTTAAGGAGATTAAATTTGTAAATTAAATAACATGAAAGTTGATGATTGAATTATTAGTTAAGCGTTAATAAACATGCTTATTTATATTGGTGAGACATTATTCAATTTGCAAATTTTTTCTATAAATTTAGTTTTCCTGACATTATCGATCAACTATAAACCTCGTATTTGTAAGAATTTACACACTCATTTCACCTTTTACATTTTAATTAATTTTTATCTATTAATTTTCTTCAATCAAATAGCAGCACCCTATTTGCAAAAGGTCATCCCATCTAATTAAAGCGATGACAAAAGAGATGACGTTTATAAAAACTAATTAAAGTCCAAAAGATTTTTTCACTTTTGAAAATGTCGTCTATTTGTAAGTATAAGGGCATCACATCTAATTCTCATGCTTTATTATAAAGTTAAAACCATTGTCTAAGTTAACCCAATATTACACAGAAATAGGAATAGTTTGCAAAAGGTCACCTCCATTTATGATTTTTGCAGGTCATATGAGTGGCTGTATTTTTGCTGACCACTCTTAAGTGGTGATAGTACTCACTGCCTTGCTTTGTATATTGGATGAGTTTAAAACTTTAAGATTTATATCTATTCACTACACAGATTTTAGAGTTTAAACTCATTTAACAGTAATAAATAGAATAGTGAGCACTATAATCACTTACGTGGTGAGCAAAAATATTCTCGCCATATTATCCCTTGATTTATTTAAGCCAAATGTAAAAAAGGAATGTGCGTAGAATTCGACCCTTTTCTTTATACAAGATCAAACATTTTATTCAATCAAAATCAAATTCTCCCCTTCCACAATAAGGGATCGAATTCTAAACGTATATTTGAGTGTAGTTAAGTTGGCTAAACCTAAATGAATGTTTTTCTTTTTGTACTCAAGTTTGAATTTTCTTTCCGGTAGTGCAAATTAGATTAGAAATTTAGAATACTCACTTGAATCGATAATAGTAATTACAAACCCCCATCAATCCTTATTTCAAAAATATATTGTCTATCTTCAAGAGGCTTTTTAGTTAAAATAGAATTTGAGATTGACATAACTCCTTACTTTGGTTCTTGAGTTTTGAAATCGATGGAAGTGGTCTTTAAGTTTGCTTACTATCAATTATTTTGGTTATTCCGTAAAAAATCTCTGTTAAATAAAGACCAAATGACAAAAATACTTTGAATTTAATCAACAATGGGCAAAATGATTTGACAAAAATTGAGGATATTTTTATCATTTTAGTCCTTATTTAACAAAGATTTTTCACGTAAAGACAAAAATAATTAAGACCAACTCCAATGGTAGGCTAAAAGCCAAATTACCCCCCAAAATTCCCCCCCCCCTCCCAAACGCATTCCAACCCAAGGGGAAATTTTGAGCTAAATGCTAAATGCTAAACCAATGCCAAATTCCCCCCCCCCCCCCGAAATTTAGCCCAGAAATCGGGGTGGACTCTACCCAATATTTATCGGAATTTAAATTTTTTTAGATTAAAATGTTCATAAAATTAATTTACGATAGTCTACATATTTATTTTTTTTTAAAAATTTAATTTAACAAAAAAAAAAGCCTAAATTCATTCTTTAATAATCCCGGGCTAAAATTTTAGAGTAGAATGATTGGAGTAGAAAAGCTGTTTTTGGGCTAAAAGCTAAATTTTTCGGGCTAAAAAATTTGACTTTTAACCCAACCATTGGAGATGGTCTAACAGCGAATAAACTCAGGGACCACTTCTATCAATTTTAAATCTCAAAACCAAAATAAAGAGTTATGTTAATCTCAGAAACCAGTTTAAATAAAAAGCCTTCTTCAACACTTCAAACCACATTTAACAGCTAGATAATAAATTCACCTCCCACCAATTTCTCATTTTTCTTAATTTTTCATGGTTTTGTAATTTTCAGATGGAACTCATGTTACTCGCGCGTCAGCTATCCGCAAGGTTGTAAACCAAAAATGCGTGGGAACTAAGAATTGACCAATTCCATGTATTTGGAAAAAGAATCATTCCTTTCCTTCTAACCAGTCGCAAAGTGTAATTAAATTAAAGAATTATGTAACACAAAGCATATTGTTAGCTTAATTTGTGTAATATTCTCACAAGTAATATGTCAACAACCATAAACACAAACACACTAAGTATATCTAAAGTTACAACTTTATGGCTTCAATGCTACACAACACTCGCTGCTATGGTTGTTTAGCCGTTAAATATAATTTTCACAACTATATCACTCAGTGTTACGCACTATTGAAGAAAAAAATATATCTTCATTGGCTATATAGCTTGAAAAATAGTATGTTGAATATGTGAAATCTCTTAAGCTTATTAACTCAAATTAAGATTTTGTGTTTGTGAAAAGGTCGAAGCTAAAATGTAAGAATATACACCTTATAAGTTACATCGGTTGCTCGAATTAGTCTAGCAACCATTTTGTATTCGAGTTCGAATTCCCTCCTCCAATACGAATTTACAGTTTATTCCATTTCCACCTTGTTTTTGTTTCTTAACTAATTCGTGTAGGTTAATAGAGTGTGGAAGCTCCCAGAGAAGATAGGTAGTGATTCTCAGTACCCCCCCACACATGTCAAGTATTCTAAATAATGACAAATATTTCTCGCATAGAATACCACCCAGGCCAAATATAATAAAGTAAAAGATAATGCCAGCCAGACGATTAATTTAATTATATTTTATAAATCATATAATAACATGGAATTTTTTTTAAACAATCGATGTTACTTAGAATAAAGGAGTGAACTAAGTCTCATAATAAACGAGTTATAATAATGTGATTCAAATTCGTCTTTAGCGAGAATTAAACTTAAGAACTCTCATTTAAAAGTAAAGAAAAATACTACTAAAGCGTAGTACTAAGTAACTTGATATTGTTGATAATTAAATTATTACTAAATATTAATTACATGTTTTTTTTTATTTGTAATACATCGCATAATTTGCAAATACGGCCTAAAAATTTGATCTGCAACCATTCCTCTAATGTGAAACCAAAACTACACGTATGCATTTCTTGCTTCTCTTCCCCGCCCTAACACCTATAAATCTGCCTAACCTCCACTCTCAAGCAATCTCTCTCTCTCTCTCTCTCTCTTTAGAAAACTAAAAAGCCAGAATATAAAACATTCCACCTTTCTGCAAACTTCAGAAAAGAGCTGAGAGATCATCAGCAGCAGCAGAGAATTACTAATTAAAAGAGCATATATAAATGAGACCACCGCCAACAGTGGGGCTGTCAGCGGTGGAAGTAGCTGAGGTTAACCTCATCCACCTTTCTCCGCCACTGCTTTCACCTCCAGCAGGGCCAACGACATGCGACTCCCACGCCTGCCGCTGGTGGCCTTACTCCGGCTCAAAAGAATTCGAGGCCAACGCCGCCATGATAATCATCGTCCTCCTTTGCGCTCTCATTTGCGCGTTGGGTCTTAATGCTGCCATCCGCTGCTTCCTCCGCGGTGGCAGCACCAACCCTTCCGATCGTCAGAACAACAGCGCTCCTCAGAGACAACAGGAGTTGGTTGATGTTCAGCAGAAGAGCAATGTGGCAGCGGCTAAGTGCTTAGAGGCGGCTCCGGCGGTGATTTACACGGCAGAGATGAAGGCGAAGCTGGCAGGAGTGGAGGCGGAGTGCGCCATTTGCTTGTCGGAGTTTGAGGAGGGGGAAGGGATTAGAGTGATAGGCAGGTGTAAACATGGTTTTCATGCTCAGTGTATTCAGGAATGGTTGTCTTCTCACTCCTCTTGTCCCACGTGCCGACGCACGTGCCTTCCTCAGTCTCCGTCTCAGTCACCACCACCTCCGCAACCCGCCAGGGATCACAGTTCCGAACAAAATCCTATGCCGGAAAGCGGCCCGTAGCGGCTTTGTTCTTACTGAGTTTGGCCAATGTACACATGTATGTAAAATGCAACTAGTTCAAGAGTTGAAGTTTTTATCCAGTTTTTTTAAAATGGTGCCGTAGACTTAATTTATTCTGGTATTAGGCAAAAGTTACCAAGCCTGATTCCATAGTTACCATCTTAGCTAGATCGGAAATCACTCTTGTTTCTACCTTCTGCACGCTGCTAATTACTTTTTATCGTTTGATTCTCTTGTGATAGGCGAGGCGACAATCCAAACCCAAAAACAAAAAAAGAGATATGCATAAGGAAGAAATGAGAATGCGAAAATCAATTCCTATGAAACAGCCAGCAAATAAAGTAATACATCAATTAAAACCAGCATATATGGAAACCCTTGCGTTTTTACTACCCTTTGGCCTGCATCTGTAGAAATAACCATCCAAATTTTTACGGCTTTACCGAAAATGCCTCTGGCCTTTAGTACACTGGCCGACTGCTGAGTGCTGATGCAAAATATGAGAAGTCCGGAGTATGTGACTGTATAACTTATCAGATCGATTGATAACGTTTCTCCTTCCAGCCGTTTCTAACCGAAAAAGTCGCTTTTCGGGGAACGCACTTCGATTCCGAGGAAGGTCCCAGGCCCCCCTCCTCCGTCGATAGAGGGGGAAAATGTACACACACAAACGGACTTGCAACGTCGTTTCTGAAATCCGAACTTTGGGACCGCCTTGGTAAGCACAATACAAGTGCTAGGGGAGGCAGGCCACGGTGGTTATGCCATGACAATGCAAATGTTAGGGGAGAACAAAACGCAATTTATGCAGCCAACTCTTGCAGTTTTGTTGCCCCTCCCCCAGCAACTTCCTCATTTCCCAACAACAAAAGGAAGATAATAATGTAAATTAATAATCCAAAACAACATCATTAATTATTTAATTAGTATCTAATATTCCATTTCAACAAACTTTAAAACCACATAAACAATGTGTACAAAAAACAGCACAACTGCATATACTGATCCGACTTAAGAACTATCGTTCTTACTATATCATATGTGACGCAATCTAAAAGCGATGACAAAAGAGATGACGGACCCCAAGCTCACACAATAAACGCTATCTGACAATCCGAAACCACACAAACCCAAGTGGGGAAGAAGACGATATGATCACATGTCTAGAAGCACTTCCTGTGGACGATGGACGGGCCTGATTCGTCATACTCAGACTTAGAAATCCACATCTGCATTTAAGAAAAACGAGACACCGAGATCATAATCACAGAACCGTACTTCCTAAACAAATAAATTGTACTCGAAGAACGACTTTCAGTAGTGAACATATATTATATATATACAATCATAAAGTACTAAACTTTTGTATCGGTTTTAGAAATCTGCAACTTATATGCTGATACCATACTTATAAAATCACAACCGATTTTTAATTCTCTCACTTACAAGTTTGCTCCTCAAGAATATCACGAGGTGATTTCACCGTTTTAAGTTATTTGAGCATAAACTCTCTTGAGATTTTCCATAGTAAATAAGAATTCAATAATCAATACGCATATCTCTTCTATGATCAGTAATACGAAGTGAAATCAAATATAAGCTATCAGCGTAGGACAAGCAGTATAACCCATACCTGCTGGAATGTGCTCAGTGAAGCTAATATGGATCCTCCAATCCAAACACTATACTTTCTCTCTGGAGGTGCTACCACCTTAATTTTCACGCTGCTTGGTGCGAGGGCTGTGATCTCCTTGCTCATTCGATCAGCAATTCCCGGGAACATAGTGGACCCTCCGCTGAGGACAATGTTGCCATACAAGTCTTTTCTAATGTCAACATCGCACTTCATAATAGAGTTATAGGTGGTCTCGTGAATTCCAGGCGATTCCATTCCAATGAATGATGGTTGAAATAGGACCTCAGGGCAACGGAAACGCTCTGCTCCAATGGTAATCACCTGACCATCAGGTAGTTCGTAGCTCTTCTCAATTGATGAGCTGCTTTTAGCAGTTTCAAGTTCCTGTTCATAATCAAGTGCCACATAGGCAAGCTTCTCCTTGATGTCGCGTACAATTTCCCGTTCAGCAGTTGTAGTAAAAGTATACCCTCTCTCAGTCAGGATCTTCATCAAGGAATCTGTTAAATCTCGTCCAGCAAGGTCAAGCCGGAGGATGGCATGTGGAAGTGCATAACCCTCATAGATGGGAACTGTGTGACTGACTCCGTCACCAGAGTCCAGCACAATACCTGGAAAATGTTTTGTTGTTAAAAAGGTAATGAGCTTTCAAGATTGTAAACTTTGCTTCCAAATTTATTTGTTGTTTGTTTGCACATGGAAAATAATTATAACAAAATAAATAGATAAATCACTCTCGGTTTTTCATATTGGTACAAACCTGTAGTACGCCCACTAGCATAGAGGGAAAGAACTGCTTGGATGGCAACATACATAGCAGGGACATTGAAGGTCTCAAACATGATCTGAGTCATCTTTTCCCTGTTGGCCTTAGGATTCAGGGGTGCTTCAGTAAGCAGCACAGGATGTTCCTCAGGAGAGACACGAAGCTCATTGTAGAAAGTATGATGCCAGATCTTTTCCATGTCATCCCAGTTGCTAACAATTCCGTGTTCAATAGGGTATTTTAATGAGAGAATACCTCTTTTCGACTGGGCCTCATCCCCGACATAGGCATCTTTCTGTCCCATCCCCACCATAACACCTGTGTGTCTAGGACGACCAACAATACTGGGGAAAACAGCCCTTGGAGCATCATCTCCGGCAAATCCAGCCTGTTGAAGGAAGTCACGACGATCATTGTATACCAAGGGAAAGCATGTATGTTAAGATGGGTTCTCACACATTACCAGGCAAAATGAAACAAAGCCCTTACCTTAACCATTCCAGTACCATTATCACAGACGAGAGGCTGAATGTCCTCGGTATCTGCCATTCTTTATGGTGACGCTGCAGAGGAATCAGGGAAATCCGTTAGTAACCTAAGAAGCATACTAAAATGCATACAATTATGGTAACTTCTTCATGCTTGGTTTTTACATCAGAAAACTCTGTTTTGGTCTTGTAAGTTGGATTGTGTACCTTATAACCTAACTAACAATCATGGATTAATGGGAGATTGCCACAAGTTGAACAAAATAAAGGTCATATCAGTGAGCCATTACAATCCTGGATTAAGTACTAAACATTGGGCAACCGGTAATTGAAGACACGCGTGAAAAGTGAAAATCCACCGCTTATAAAACAGTAATGCTCTATTTCACCAGAAGATCAACAAAACAGGCAAAAAGCAATAAAGCATAATTTCTAATTCTTTCCAGGAATTACATCCAAAACCGAAGGCTACCTAACTACTTTGTAAAGGGTTTGTCAGGCACCGATCACATACAGAAATAACACGGCTGATTCTTATTCCCACACCACAGATGAATCAATTACACGCACTTCAAACTGATATCAAGCATTTCAGGTTTTTCCTTTCAAGCGCGTGCGCGCACACACACACACACACTATGTTTGTCACCAATTGATAACAAGTAAGGGGTTTTGGATCAGATTAAACCAAAATATGAGATTTGTCATGCTTAATGCTAGTGATGGGTTGATGCCATCAAAATTTAGATGCCAATCAGATTAAATCACTACAAAATCTGTCAGAATTTGCCACTCACAGTCTCAGTCAGTCACTGACTAATTAACATGAACAGCAACAATCACTCAACAAATTCATAAAACACCAGAAAAATCCACAGTGAACTTGTGAGATGATAGATCAATCAACAAACACAAGATTAAACAAATTAAGTTCACAACAGAAAAATCGGAAGCAGGAACAAAAAGAAAACACTTCAACTTACAAAAACTTGGAAACCGATTCACAAGAGGGGGAAATAGCAGATATACTGAAGAGAAACGGGAAAAAAAGGTTTCTTGGTAGCAGGAGGGAGACAAAGAGCTTAAGAAGCACGCATACCTTCGGGGAGTCGAGGAGGATTTGAGCTGACAGCAAAAAGGAGTGGGTGGGCGGCCGGCCAGACGAAATGATGGAAAACCAAATGAAGGTCGGTTTGATTCTGCTTTACGATTAGACAATTGAAGGAATTTCTGCCAACCTCTTTGGAAAGTCTGGACTGTCGAACTTTCCAGAATGTATTTTGCTTATTTTTTCAAGAAAATGGTAGTAATAATCTCTTAACTTAATTCAAATAGAGTAATAATTTTTTAATTAAAAATTCATTATTATTGGTCTCTCAACTCATCAAAACGTGCAATTATAGTCCCTCAACTAAAAAATCTATTAATATTGGTCCCTCAACTTTAATCCAACTGGAGAAATCGTCCCTCAACTTTAGCTCAATTAGAGCAATGATCTCTCAACTTTAACCCAATTGTAGTAATGGTCCTTCCAACATAACTTATTTTGACAAAATTCTAACGAAGTTAACGAAAATGACCATAGCTATACGTTTTGATGAGTTGAGGGACCACAATTGTAGCAATAATCCTTCCAACATAACTCATTTTGATTTTTTTTTTTGACGAAGTTAACAAAAATGACCATAGTTACATATTTTGATGAGTTAAGAGGCCAATAGTCATGAATTTTTAGTTGATAGGACATTACTTAAATTTAATTAAAGTTGAGGATCGTTGTTATAATTTACTCTATTTTTACCTGTACTTGTTAAATTATCACTTTAAAAAAAAAAAAAAATTAAATTGGTACCGGCAAAACGTAGCCATAAAAAATAATATTCTAATTTCCACGTAGGAACTCATCTACGTCAGTACATTTAACGGAGGTAACAGAATCTAGCCAAAGTGAAGCAACCGGGACTGTTTACACTGTCTTCTAAGCGCCACATAGGAACACATTTAGCTCAGTACATTTGACGGAGTTAGCGGAATCTTATCACAGTACATTAAATATCGAGTTTTAGATACAAGGCGGCCAATATATTTTTTGCAGATATTTATATAAATTAGAAATTAGGAAGAAAAAAAAATTAAAGAATAGGAAAAAGGAAAGAAAAGGAGGACAGCTGGAATTTTGACTAATTTCTCGGATTATGGTAAAGGGCAGGATGACATCAATGAAAATTTGGAAACCGAAACAGAAAAAGCTAACATTATTGGCACCGAAATTCAGAAAATACGGAAAACAATAAGGGCATAATGATGTCTGCCAAATTTACTAAAGTTAAAAAAATTGATAATGTTAGGAAAATTATTGGTTTAATTTATATTTTATAAATTATATAACGTGATTATTAGTATTATTTTAAAGAAAATGTTACTCAGAAGTTTCAAGGTCAAAATGGGCAAAGTAAGGAATAAGAGTGAGAATCAATCGGAAGAGGATGAACTACTCCCGTAATCAAATCGAATTCTTGTTTTTCAGGTATTGGATCATGATCCTGATGCTGTTAGATTGCACCATAAAAGTAAGGTTTAATTATTGCCATATTGGGAAACTGATTATGTTTTCAACTAGCTAAATATTATGAAAACTAATAATAAGGGCTTGCAAACTTTGAATGTTAATAACAAACCATATACTAACTTTATTTAATAGTTAGGACAAAACCCGATATTAAATCAATCCAATTAAAATGGCCCAAACAATCAGTTTCCATTTTTTCTGATAGCAACTCACACACACGCACGCAGAGTTAGAGAGAGCATAGAGCCGCCAAACCCTAAGGTCGCAATTCGCATATGAGGAGTTGCAGCATATTATGTGTGTGTTGAATACCAACATGGATGGAAAGCAGAAGATCATGTTTCGCCATTACCTCCATCAAGGGTATATGTAGCCGTTTCGCCGACATCGTCTATAAGAAGGCCGATGTCAACATGAACAAAAGGGTTGGTGAGCTATCTACTACCGAGCTCGACAATCTAATGACTATTATGGCCAACACCCCCCCTAGTTGAAGATCCCTGACTAGTTCTTCAACAGAAAGGACTACAAGGATGGTAAATATTCCTAGGTGGTCTACAAGGATGGATATTATGGTGTTTCGGTGTTCATCATTTCCAACTTACTCTCTTCATTCCCATTCTTGGTTGCAATTACTCTTATTATCTAGGGAAATTTGGACTGGATAATAGAGAGCCTCATGATGGTTGTAGCTTTTCTAGTTCCCAATTTCCTAATGGGTATTATAACATTTGAGCATCCTGATGATGACCTCGGGTTTCTTCCGCTTGCTACCAGATCTTCCCAAGCCGTTTGGGATACCAATAGACCACTCTAAATGGTGGGACTTGGCTGCTATTCCCATATGGTCTTCGACACTACTGGGGCCTTTGTGTGCGTGGACAGAGATTTGTGGCTTTTGAAGAAGTGACATTGCGGAGAGGAGAAAGAAGGGAATGACACACATTAAGTTTCATAAATAGTGTAGTAAGTTTCATAAACAGTGTCGTAAGTTTCATAAACAGTGTAATAAGTTTCATAAACAGTGTAATACTGTTAAGTTTCATAAACAATATAGAAAGTTTCATAAACAGTTTGTGTGATGACCTGTGGATCTGAGCGTCAGATCTTTTTTTTAATATTAAAATTATGTCTTTTTCATTTAAGTTCTTTTGTCATTTTTATTAAAATTTAAGGGGTTTTCATTAAAATTTAAATCTTTTTAATTAAATAAAGTTATAGTATGGTTTTTTATTCAAATAAACTTAACCCAAGCCCTTTTCATGAAAGTTCCCCTAAATATTAGATGGGTTGTCAAGCATGAACTTAGAGGAATCTGTCACAAATTGATGAGTCAATTTCATATTATATATTTTACCCTATTTTTAGTATAATTTGATATTTATTTTGGTAGAATTTTAATATTTTGCTTTATATTTTCAACAGAGGACATTCAACTTCTTGCGGAGCGAAATGTGATTAAACAGACTGATTTTGGTGTAATTCAAGTTGGAGGACGTTTGTGTCAAAATTTTAGCAATTTCTACCAAGCGGTTATTTTCTGGCGATTAAATAAAGAAATAGTGTGCATTGTTGGAAAGTAACGTTTTTGGGCTTAATTGCAATTTTTGGAGCCCAAGATGACCTCTGATGGGTTCGTGGCATTTTGAAGAAGTGTTCAGAATATTCCAAACCTTAAATCCAGCTAATTTGGGCCGATTTTGGAGCATATATGATTATATGGGTCCAAAACGTGGCTGTGCAGATTTTGGGCTGCTTGTCCTAGTCAATTTAGGATTATGTTTCCTAATTTTTTTGGGTTTATAGTTTTTAGAAGACCTTTTCTAGGAAGGATTGAATTTTCAATGTAGTATAAATAAGCCTTTTTGGCTGACCCTAGTTCTTCTTCTTTTACGCAATATTGGAGAGAAGAATTTGGCAAAAACTTATAGATTTTCAGACTTTATTCTACAATTCACTCTTTTTCTAGTTTAATAAAACTCTTTTGATTTTAATTATGAATATGCGTAACTAACTTTCTTTTGCTAGGGAAAGGCCATGAGCCTTAACATGAATATGTAATTTTTATTCAATTGCTTATGATATTATGCATGCATAGTTTGAATTATTAACCACTGCGTTTAAACTGTCTTTATGTCTTAATGCTTAGCTACCATTAGAATGTTTAGATAAGTAATCAGATGCAATTTCTGTTGGAATGTCACCCTGAAATTGAATAATGCTTCTTGTGGTTAATGATTGTAAGTTCACTTAGGGCGAATGCCACGTCTTAAGGGTTGCATGTTTTTTCAAAGGGTCTTCACAACGTGTAATGAGTCATGCATGTCTATATTTGATCTGAATGCCACAGACGGATTGCATGTTTGATATACGTTCTAACTTGAATACCACAAGTAGAATATGCATTAGGAAAAACTAACTTTCAAAATTGCATGAGTAATTCATAAGTAATTAGTAAATCTACATATGATTGTTAAGGAGACGGCGGAACCATAGTGCTTGTCAAAATTTATTTCTCAAAACCTTTTCTTTTTTTATCTGATTTCTTCTTAATTGTTTACTAGTTGGTTTTCTTAAATTACTTTTATTAAATTCGTTTTTATTATATTTAAATTCAAAAACAACCCTTTCCAGTATTTGCTTTCACATAATTAACTAAGATTTTGGTTTTGCATAAATTGTTTTAAATAATCCTAGTGGGAACGACCTTGCATGAGCATTTTTACTAGAACTATCTTGTTCTCTTGCAAGTATTTTACGTGATTTTAACCCTCTTTGCGTAGGTACTAAAAATCTTATCACAAATTATAAAAGAAAAGTCCATTAAAATTTGAAGCAAGTCAAAATTTAGCACTCTTTATTACTTGTCAATGGTACTGGTTCAGCTGATATACGGAGGATCGAGTGTCCTCATGAAATTATCCCTTGAGGAGGGACTCAATCAGATTGTCGTCGTCGTTTACAGGCATGTCCTTGCCATGGTTCTGGTATGACCATTTGCTTATGCCTCTGAAAGGTAAGCATTCTAGCCGTTTTTCAGACTTTCTTCCTGTACAAGAAACAGCGAAAACTAATTCAGAATTCATGTGGCTGAGCAGGAAGCGAGGCCTTGGCTCTCATTTCCGGTAGCTGCAAAGATTTTCGCGCTTGCATCACTCGGGACTACCATCCAATCATCATCTTAATGTGTACAATGCTGGATTAGCATACACTTTGCAACAGTTGGATGTGCCTTGAGTAATGTTATTCCCGCTTTTGTTTAAAGTGAGAATTGTGAGGACAATATTGAGCTATCCATTTCATTGGCACAATATTGAAGTTTTTGCATCGCGTGTCAGTGTATCACGTCACGAGTGAGATATTAAGGTATATCTCCAATCTGTGGTCATGTCTCCTGGTTACATGACATCTCCAATTCGGGGGTATATTACATGTTAGAATCTCCTCGACTGTAACCCCCGTTACATGTTAGAATCTCCTCAAAATCTGGTGAAAACCCACTTCGCTAAAAGTAATTTCCACTAATTAATTAAAATAAGGTGTGTCATGTAAGTGATTAGAAGATTAGAAGCACTCGAGGTCAAGCTAAGGTGGTCGGTACTCTTTTCTGCATTGGTGGTTCTCTTATTTTCACCTTCTGGAAAGGAGGATACCTACTTAAAGCTTTTATTGAGAATCCACTGATAAATGTTTCTAACGGCGAGGGGACTGGCCGTG